ATAAGATAAGATAAGATAAGATAAGATAAGATAAGATAAGATAAGATAAGATAAGATAAGATAAGATAAGATAAGATAAGATAATCCTTTATTAGTCTACAGATGGGAAATTTAGGTTGTCACAGCAGGAAGTGGACAGTACTAAAATCAGAGCAGCAGGTACAAACCAATACAAAAAGAAAAATAGAAAAACAACAGCATGGTGAAAAAGCACCACACATTTGTCGTAGAAATACATTGAGATGTTTTCAGTTCCTTCAAAATAATTGCTTCTTTCTGCTGCAGCACACTTGCTCTATTTTTATCTTCCTGTGCTACTTTTAGTTACCCCTTTGTTACTTTTAGCATTAATACTACATTTACTCTTAAATTAACCTTTTACTACTTTATCCAGCCTAATTAGATGCAACATTTTATTACAATAACATTGGGCCATATTCCCGTTTTTGTGACTAATTTAACGTTTTCTAAATAATAAATGTTTAAAAGCATTTAAAAAGTGGAGCTGGAAGCATTATATTAGTTTGTAAATAGTGCATACACAAAAGTTCACAGTTGTGGAAAGCAATATTTGCACCATATTATAGATAACACAAAGGTTTTTGGTGCAATAATACATTTATATGCTTGTTTGTGTTTTATAATTAGCATTTTATTGATTCATAAAAACTAATCTGTACAATTAAAGATTATTTACTCTGCCTTCAGGCTGCAGTCTACCACCAGCCTGTGGGGGCAGCAGAGTGCAGCGAGCTGATCAAGTCTACTGCAAATATTCAAACGAAGAAGAAAGCTCCTCAATCCTCGTGAAGCGGGAATCGGCTTTTCTCCAGCATGGACTGGTAAATGTGATCATTTTAAAACATATAAACGTTTTGGACGCTTTTTAATCCCTGTGTGTTTGTTCTGTATTTGTTAGTTGGCGTTGAGTTTGCTTCCGGTGACTGTTGTGTTAGTTGAAGCTAACTATGCTAACGCTTCCGTTCATTGTGAATGCAGATGCTAACCAGCTAATTTTTGTTGACAGTCCGAACTGGATTCATTCATTGTTTGAAATTAGAGTTAATAGTATTTTATGTCAGTTAAGAGCCTGAACAGACGAACAAGTAATGCTTTTTATCTTGTAAAATATGAATAATAGTTGTTTAGTGTTAACAGGAATGGAAAAATATCAACAAAATCTAAACCAGTACATTTATAATATTGAAGATCTTCAGAGTAATGGGGTTAATTGAGCTCGAGTCAACATGGCTTCTTGTTCCAGAAATTAGATTATTTATTCAAACAAATAAATAATGCACCAGAGAGATCATGAAGAAGATAAAGGATGGATGAAATTTCAGTAAACGGGGACAGAAATGACGTGAAGCTAAAAAAAAACAACATTATTTTAATTTTCTTGCCATAATTAAGTTTTTCTATTGTGTTTTAAGGGGTCAGAATGAGCTGCTGTCTCCGGTGGTCCGAGATGATGAGATGACAGTCGCTGCTCGCAGGAGGAAGAAGGTGGCCTGTATCCTGGTGCTGTGAAAACAGAGTCAGAAAGATTTAATCTGACAGATTAGCAACAAATAATCTGCAGTGAAAACAAATTATACCTGCAGAACTAATCAGGCTCTGACAAAAGTTGGGTTGGTCCTTAAATACTTAAAGCTATAACTTCAAAGATGTTGATAAAAACTTCTAAAAAAATAATTCACACAATAATCAGTTTGTAATAAAATAGCCAAAAAGGTAGATAAAATATAAACACAGAACAGTGGCTATAAAGTAAAACTTCTTCTAAATCTATTGAAACACAGAATGTAGCTAAAAGTTAAAAGCAGCCACAAGGTGAAGAGTAGCAAAAGCCTACTAAATGGCAGCTAAAAGCTAAAGGAGCCATGGGTTGGCTAGAACCTTAGCAGAACAAGTGTAAATTATAAAAGTTGCAAAAGCCTAAAGTTAACTTTTTAAAGGCAAGCTGAAAGCTAAAAGTAGCAAAAAGCTGAATTAAAGCTAAAAGTGGCAAAATTACTGCTTAAAACTTGCAAAAGGCTAGCTCAATGCTAAATGAGGCAGAATGATGGCTAAAAACTAAAAGTAGCAAAAGGTTAGCTATAGTCGAAAAGTAGCAGAACAGTAACTAAAAGCTAAAAATAAAACAGTAGCTAAATATAAAGGTAGGAAAAGCCGAGCTAAAAGGCAAACTAGAAGCTTAAAGTAGCAGAACAAGTGTAATTTATAAAAGTTGCAAAAGCCTAAAGTTACGTTTCTAAAGGCAAGCTGAAAACTAAAAGTAGCAAAAAKCKGAATTAAAGCTAAAAGWGGCAAAATTATAGCTTAAAACTTGCAAAARGCTAGCTTAAAGCTAAMTGAGGCAGAACGATCGCTAAAAACTAAAAGTTGCAGAACAAGTGTAAATTATAAAAGTTGCAAAAGCCTAGCTAAAAGTTACGTTTCTAAAGGCRAGCTAAAAGTGGCAAAATAGCTCAAYGCTAAATGATGCAGAACGATGGCTAAAAAACTAAAAGTAGCAAAAGGTTAGCTATAATCTAAATGTAGCAGAACAGTAACTAAAAGCTAAAAATAACAAAACAATAGCTAAATGTAAAAGTTGGAAAAGGAAAACGAGAAGCTAAAAGTAGCAGAACAGTAGCTAAAACTCAATGTAGCATAAAGCTAACTAAAATTTAAAACTCCCAAAAACCTGCCTCAAAGATAAAGCTAGCAAGAAGCTAACTATGAGGAGCAGAACCCTCACTTACTTGAGTTTAGATCAGAACATTTCTGCTCAGTCTGTGTTGTTGTTGTTGTTGTTGTTTCCCTGACTCTGCTTCAGTCCCGTCACCCAGCAGCGAGACCCCCTTTGTTTCTGTGGTAACTCCAGCCCGGCCCCTGCTGAGGACCCCTGCCTCTCTGTTCCGACAGGCGGGTAGGATGGATTTGATCCTGACGTTCAAACATCTTAATATTTCATTAACTCTGATTAAATCTTTTACCTGGTGACTCGCAGTAACTCCCAGRGCTCCGGAGCTTTCCTCCATCTTTGCGTCGGGGGTCCGGACGCCTCGGTACACGCGCACGCCCCGAACCGCCGCCAGCAGCCTGGTAAGAGACGCACGGTGAGGAAACAGTTCACCACATGGGATGAAGGGTTAAACTGAGGTCTGCACCTGTCCAGAACCTGGACGACAGCGCGTGGACCGACAGCCTGTACGCCTCCCCCGTGCTGGGCCTGGAGAACACCAGCTTCTTCACCGACGACGTGGCCAACCTGAGCTCKGCGCTGCTGAAGGAGGACGACCCCGGAGAGGCAGGTGGGTGAGGCGGACCCCTCGGAGCTCGACTCAGTTTGAAGCTACGCTAACGTCAGACTCTCTGTTCAGCTGCTGCCAGTCTGTTCCCGGAGTTCCTGGCTTCCTTCCTGAAACACTCTGCTTCTGCCGTGTTTGAGCTGCTGGAGGATTATCAGAACATCTGCCAGGAGAAGGTTTGCTTTTATTTCTTCACTTAAATATCTGTCAGTTATGGCAAAAAACACACAAAGCTCTGAAATTTAGACTAAAATTCACAGTAACTCCTGTGATCCTGGTTTGATTCGTCCTGTTAGCTCGTCGTCACAGTCAGACGTGTTTAAAGGATTGATTTTCCACAGGTGGACGTGCTGCAGTCCGTGGTGCTGAGGGCGGGTCAGAACAGTAAAACGGCGGGGGTCCGCTGGCTGCTGCAGCAGGAGAACCACACCTGGAGACTCGTGGCGTCGCTCTACAGGTACGGAGTGGTCTGACCGACAGTTAACGCAGGGTTCCTGCAGATCCTTAAAGACTTTAAAGGCATTGAATTCATCGATCTAAAAATAAGGCCTTAATTAGCCTTAAAAAATCTTAAAACAATCTTTCAGAAGTCTTAAAAATGTGAACACAGTAAGTAGGATGATTGTAAACTGTCTCAAATATTAAAATAATTGATAACATTTATGTTTGTTTGTTTTTAAATAATTCACAGAGCTATTTTTTTTTGTACTGCATTTGTATTTATTGTGAATTGGGTCTTAAATTTCATTTCAAGTGGAATTAAAGAGGCCTTAAAAAGTCTTAAATTGATCTTGCCTTAAGCTGTAGGAACCCTGTAACGTCCACAGACKTGTCTTCTATCAGCAGGCCTGGGTATCATGGCCAGTTCTCTAGATCGATTCGATTCATAAAGTTCTGAATCGATTAATCATGATTTGACTCAATCACTATTTTTTTTCTCTTCACCACAAACGGGTTTTAAGGACAAACTTTGAAATTAAACAGTTTAATCTTGAAGGAAAACTGTCACAAATTAAAAGATTTTAAATAAAAAAGGAATTGCAGGGGACAGTGTTGTTGGAGGAATTCGTTTTTAATTAATTAATAATTATCTTGATCAATAAGAAGTGATGGAATAAGGTTGCAGGAGAAGAGGTGGACTAATATAAATATATTTCTGCCCACTCCTTTAGACTGTATGAAAACTGTATATTTGTAATGTTTCTGTTAGCTTCTGTTGTGTTCAATAAAACTTATTAAAACTACATTTCATCACTGTGGATTTCATTAAGACATTTCTTAAAGTTAAAAAATAGTAATATTAGTGACAAAACTAAATGATTTTGTTAGAATGTGGTCTTTAAGACATTTAAACATGGAGAACAGTTTCAKTCAGACGTTTACAGACTGTAGTTTGGTTCGAGTGCCTGACGAGCCGCTTGTCGCTTTGTTTTTGCGTAGGAGCGCAAATCATTACAAACAAAGCTCTCCGTGGTCTCTGCTGTCTTTAAGTTCTGCTGAGGATCAGCCGGTAACGTTAGAGATTCCTTAGTCTCTTTTGTTTTGATCCAGACAACTTGTCGAAAGCTAACGTTAGCGCTGAACGTCAACCAGATGTAAACATACAGGAAGCCAGGAGAGACGAAATATAGAAACGCGTTTCAGACGCAAACACAAGACGCCAYGGGCAAGACTCGATCTCATTACCTGTGAATCTATTTTCCCAAATGTAAAATCATCGATTTAAGATGGATTAAATCGATGTTTGTACCCAGCCCTAATCACGTCTGTTTCTGCAGAGATCGAGTCCAGTTGGCGCTGGAGGAGGACATGATGACGGACATGGTGGTAAGTAATGGTGACTTCATGTGAGGTGGGGTCTGTTCTTCTCTTGTGTCGACTCCTAACCTGTGTGTGTTTTTGTGTGTGTGTGTGTGCTGGCAGGTTCCCAGTGAGAGCGAGAAGGTCGTGGTGGAACAGCTTTTCCAGAGAGACGCCGTCATCCGGCAGAGTCAGGTCAGTGAAGACTGAAAACATTGGGCCTCATGCAAGAACATGTTCGTATTCTTCTCCTGAATTTCTCTTACTTTTGTTCATATGAAGAGTTCGTACGAACATGTCACGTCAGATTCAACAAACTTCCACCTTCAGGAAAAGTGTGTAAATGAGCTGCGTAAACTGATGAGTGTATCAGGTGCTCGTGCACAAGGAGATTAGCATAATTACCGCCATAAAA